ATTGTAGGTGATAAGTTATGACTATTTTATTATAATATTAAGACTACTTGTCATTATAATAAATTAGACTATTATAGGCTTAAACTATTTTCTATTTTTGAATAAATCAATCTTATTGCTTATCAATTATATCTATTAAAGTCTATAAAGATCTATTCTATACTCTATATATCTCTTTTTGAGTCTTATAAGATAATAAATATCTCAAGAATAAGTCAAATACTACTTTTTATAAAAATAGATAATAATCAAGAATTCAAGATGGAAAGAATCTTAGATTTAAGGTAGCATTGAAATAGATTAGAATATCTTGTTCAATGGTATAAATATGATATTAGTGAATGCACATAGAAGCTAGCAAAGAATCTTACAAATGCAACAAAAAAAATTGAGGCTTTTCATTGATGACATATATTAAAATCAAAATGTAGAATAATAAATCTTTGCTGTAAAAGAAACAAGATCTAGAGAAGATAGCATTCTACCTTCTATTCTTATTTGTAACTTTTGTATATTTATGAATCTAAAAAGATAGAAAATCAACAAAAAGTAGATTCAACTCAAGAATTATCACTTATTGACTTATCAGATGAGACATTACAATTGTCACAACCTTCAAGAGGACATAATCAAAATAAAGATCTTTAGGAACAACATGTCTTTCTTTGAATAGATGGCGGAATACATCATATTTTATATTATGATCTTAGAAGAGATTCTCGATGTTTAGTGATTTTATTAGAGATAGAAATGACTTTTGACGATGTTTCAAATAATTTATTTAAAGGTAGTTATGAAGGCCTCAACAATAATAAAATAATAAGGTGATCTTTTTGCATTGATTTGAGATCCTATTGATGGCTAAGACAACCTATCAACCATCTTCAAAGAGAACAAAGATCAAAATATGTAGCAAATACAATTTATTGTATCTTAGATTTTTTCAACATATGGTGACCACTTCTAATGGAACTTGTCTTTAGAAGGGAGGATAATATCATAGACATACATATTTATTCTAATATTTACCTATATGATTAAATAGAAGTGAATAAAAGTAGATTTATTTCATAATATTTCTTAGAAAAGCTTTCTAAAAGCTTTATGAATATTACTTTGACTTTATATATATTTGTAGTTTATTAGTAGGTTAGAAACTTGGTCAACAAATTAATCACATGTTAGAAGCTTATAGAACAAGGTCACTATGTAGCAATCATATTGAAAACTTGTCTTACAAGTTAAAATACATATCTTCTAAAGTCAACATGATTTGGAGGTCTTTTAGGACATTGCAACATCATAAGACAAGTCCAATTTGAGGCACAAGGCTAATTTAAAATAAAATATAAGGTTGGTTTATATTGCAACACAAAATTTGGATAAAAACTACAATAAATAATCCAACTTTCTTCCATCCATTATTTTTTCTTGATATGCCATATCACCTTGCCATGTAAAGAATCATTAAGTAAAATAAATATTGAAAAATTAATGGTAATAATTATAACTATAAATACAAAATCTAATTTAAAATCTCAAAGTCCTCCAAGTATCTAATATTCATTGTAGATTTAATTCACAAGGTTCTAGCAATAACAATGTTTATCAATTACTAATTATTGGTTGCTCCACATTGAAATACAAGCATAGGGATATGCAATTCTTTATTTTGGCTTGAGGTCATAAATATATAAAGACTTGCAATACCAATAAGACACTACAATTTAGAGTCTTAATTTAGAGTCCTAACTTAGAGCAATTTAATGTTGTCGTATCAATTGCATACTACAACAACTAAATGTAATGGTGTTATTTATCTTATTGGAATAATCCAACAATTATGTGTGAGTTTCCTTCTTGCAACAATCCAATAATCCTATGAGACAAACCATTATATTATCTACCAAAACTACATCATTTACACTCATATATGAAATAGGAATTTTTTAAAATAACAATTTGTGAATAAAACGTCTAAAAGAATATAAATTATATGAAAAATATAATACATTAATTTATATATAAACTCTATAAAAATATATTAATATGTATACAAAGAAAAGAAAATATTTTAATTCATCTCTAAAATGCTTGATTTTAAAAAAAAAAAAAAAAAAAAAAAAAATAGCATTTTGAGATACTTAAATACTATGAGATTTGAATAAAATATCAATAATCTTTAAGACTTGATTCTAAGATTCTTTGCAAGACTCAAAATCCAAGTCTCATACTTATGGTGGTATCATGCCTCATAAAAAATCTTGAAAACAAACAAGCAATTGGAATGGTAGAAGTGTTGAAATCGTAAAGTAAGTAAGAAATTTTTTATTATAAATAATTTATGGTTTTTTATCTCATATAGCTCAAAGGTTTTTTGAAAGCCCAAAAAAAATAATAACATCTATATATCGCTCTTTGCTATGCCTTTTGGAATGAAAAAAAGATAAAACTTTTAATTTATTTATTATTTATTTATATATTTATAATTTATTTATTTTGGAGCCCAAAGCTTATCCAAAGCTTACTACTACATCTTTTTATAAGTTTTAATTTTAAATAAAGATAAAAATAGATTAGAAAATTGGTAGTCTATTATCCTATTTAATATTCTATGTAAATATATGCTAAGGCTATCCAATAATTCCTTTAATATGTACTAATGGAAATAATTTGTTTAGACCAAAAAACATATCACCTCTAAGATATGTTTTAGATTATATTTTAGTCATATAATAATATTAGAAAGCTATTAGGTATTTTTTTGATATTTTTTATATATAAAAGATATCAATTAATTATTTACTATCAAAGTAATACATAAATTAAAAATATTGGTACTCTATTAAAATTAATGTAGCTAGTAGGATTATTATAATAAATAGAATCTTACTCTCATCATTATATTTCTTTTTAGTAAGTTCTATATAATAAATTTATAAAATAAAATACTTAATTAACAAATTCTTATCAAAAGATACTTTTCTTTGATTTGTTGCAATATGGCTCAGTGAATTCATTATAAGAAATAAACTAAAAAAAACTTTGGTATAATTGATCCAAAAGTAACAATAAAAGTATTTTTAACTAAGTGGGTTATAGGAGCCCTACAACCTAGACACACCAACATTCAACAAGTTTTTAGATATACAATGATGAATGTCAAATCAACAACTTTAAAACATTGTGTATTGAGTCTAACTTTAAATCACAAGTGAAATTCCATCTCAAAAGTCTATAACAAAATTAGCAAAGTTTGAACACAAATGTGTAAATTCTTACATTCTAACCTACCAATATTGTTCTATAAAGTATAGAATAGATTTTTCTTATAGTAGAATTCCAACTTCTTTTTTCATTTTTTTTTTAAATTAACTTCCAACAAATCTCTAAAAAGTATATTTTTTAAATAGAATTTATACATATAAAATCAAAGTTATTCTTAAATTTGTCAAAATATATCTTATTTCTTATTGGTCTTACAATTTAAAAAATAATTAAAGCTTAGAATAGCTATTTAATAGTTTTGTTATATTTTAGAATATTTTTGTCTTTATTATTAAAAAAAAGAATAGATATTATTTAAAACTATCCTTTAATTTTTTAAATAAAAATATCTATACTTATTGATATGTCATGTTGTCTCCTTGTTACTTATATAAACTTTAAAACTAATTTAGGTAATATTTTACTAACTTATTTTGTACATTAAATTTATTAATTTATATGTTTATTTTTTAATAAATATATTTTATTTTTTGTGGCTTCATTGTATTTATTTTTATATTTGACATCTTACAAATTATATGCATTTAATTTTTTAATACAAAATAGATCAAGCTTTTGTTTTGTTTTTTTGTTTTTGTTTTTGTTAAAATATCCATATTCTTTTTTCAAATAAATAAAAACAACAAGTACATACTTTTAAATTTGGTTCCATTAATTACTTTATTTTCTTCTTTTTTTCCTTTTTCTAGAAGGAAGATTTTTGTTCATTTGGTTAGTTACAATTAATCCATCTTATTTAAAGTACATCTATTTAAAAAAAATACATAAAAAATCTTGATTAAATATTTCATATTTATGTGTTTTTACCCAAATAAAGTTATTTTATTATAAAAACTATTACCAATGTGTGTGTAAATATATATTCCTCTTTCAAATCACTTCCACAACCTCAAGTGTGCTTATTATTATATTTTTATCTTTTAAACTATTCTTAGCTTTCAAAAGACTCGATCAAGCTACAAATCCTCAACTACAGACACAAAAATAAAAAAATAACATGTATTTAATATGATTTTTTTAACTAAATATACATTTAGTACTGACAAATCCTCCAACAATTAAACTCAAAACCAAATCATAGGCACAAAGTTGATATTACTCCATTTTTACCCGTATTTCATAGATTATAACCACTAAAAGATAATGTGAAGGTCTTGGAATGAAGATACAAACTCTGTGGCAGTCCAACATTCAGCAATTAGCAAGCACAATAACAAACTTTATCACAAATTTGTAGACTCAAGAATTATACAATCTATTTTTCTGCCTTCCAGATAATCGTTGATGCTCCGATACAAAACCCTTCTCTTCTCCTTCTTCTTCTTCTTCTTCTTCATCTGCTCACTCCCTTTTATTTATAAATCCATTAACCCACTCCCAAAGGTATAATTCCTTTTTGTTGGAAGTCCAAATCTGCTCGCTCTCAACAAACAGCCCACAACGCAGCGCTCAATGCGACAGCCGCCTTTCTAAAAAGGCGGGCAGGGCTTTAAAAGAGGTGAAGTAACGAAGAGGACGGGGGGGGCAGCCCGGCCACAAGAAGAAGAAGGTTGAGGAGGAGGGTCGACACGTGGCATAATATGAGTGGAGGGATTAGATATGGTCCCTTCCAATAGGACGGTCGCTGTGAGCTCCCCTTCTTCCCCGCAGCAGCGCCTTCACGAAGCCAGCCATTCCCTCGCAGACCCAAACCCATCCCTCCCTCGCCTGCTCCATTCAGCGCTGCCGCGATCGTGCAAACGCACCCCAGGACTTCTGAATCTGCATGGTACAATACCCATCTCAAGCTTTCGACCGATTGGTCTCAATCTGAGGCTCACACTGACACTCTTAGGGGCCGTTGTAGGGTGGATTGAGGGGGATGAGTGGCACCTGTAAGCTTCATTGTTGCTCAGACATGGAATTTCGTTATTGGTGGTGAGTTTTTGGAGGATTGTGGCAGACCGTGGGGTGTAGTGCCGCAGCTTGATCTCTGGGTTTTGTGAGAATTTGCCGTTCGGTTCTGGTGAGACCATCCAGTTTTTTTTCTGTGTTGGTCGCGGATGTAGAGGTGAATGTGGTATTTTCATGACGGTTTTCATTCGGTGTTGGTTGCAGATTTGGGTCGCTCGTGTTGTGTTTGAAGGAGGAAGAGGTAGAATTGGACTTATTGTTGCTGCGTAGGACTTGGGTCGCGTTAACGGAAGGGTGCCTATGGCGGGTGTGGCACTGGGACTCGGAGTCCCGGGGTTGGAGCTGGTAGCCACTAAGAGGGCTCAGTTCTCTTCTCCTTCTTCCTCTTCCTCTTCTTCTTCTTCTTGCGTCAGTTGCTCTGCTTCCTTTTCTTCCTACAGCATTACGCATGCCAGGTCTCAGAAACCGCTTGTTCTGAAAAGCTCTTTCGTCTCGCGGAGTAATCATTCCAGCTTCTGGGATGGTGGAGGTACGCTCGTTTTCTTCGTATTGGAAGTGCTGCCCCTTGAAACCCCGTTCTTTAGACTTTTAATGAAGGAATCTCGATTTTTTTTGGATGAATTCCTGCTGCTCGCATAGGTAACCCGGACCTTGTTTCTTGTCAGAAACATGCAATGTGTAGGCTGTCTAGGTCGACTCTACTACTCCTCCTCCTCCCATTCTTCAATGTGTCGAAGGTCTTGGGAAGAAGACACCTATCAACTCATGGCGCTAAGCGTGATTTGATTAAAGACATTTTTCTCCTTTCCTTCAATCAACTGAAAAGCAATTTACATAGTTTAGTGTGCGTTGAATTGACACAAACTTGACCTACAGTTTTCTAGGTGCTTTAGGATTTTGCGGGGTGTCACTAATGAGTGGCTATCATTCAGCAGTGTTTAGTAGGACAGAGGTAACGTTGAACTGGAATGTTTTCACTAAAGCAGTGTAGTTTACTAGAAATTTTTGCATTTGATTCTAATTTGTTCCGAAATGAGGGTTTGAGTAGGGCATGAGCTTTCAGAAATGATTTGGCAACGTTTAAAGTAGAGTTCTTTAACAACTTCGTCTCAATTCGTCTCAAGAATGCCTCCTCTTATTCTTGATGCTCCTGGATTTTAAAGAACTGAATCACAAGTAATTAATTGTTTGGGCTCCTTTTTCAAAACCAGGCAATGTGAAAGAGAGAATAATGACCTTATAACTATGTGCTCCTTTCGCTCTGGCATTCACAGTTAATAAGCTTAACGCGTTGAGAATTGGGGGTGGTGACAGTGGGAGCATGTGTGCTGGCCCTTGCCTTCGAGGAGTCAATCAAGCAAAGTAACAGGGGTGGTGCCCTTTGTACCCAAGCGAACATTTTTGAGCGCGTGGTCAGAGTCGTGAAAGTATGATAACCCGCCCCTTGCAGAAACGCGGATTCTCTGTTCTTTGATACTACCTTTTTGGGGAGATGTGTATCATGTTGACAGCAGGATTATCGATGAGGAATTGCGTAAACGCTAGTTCAACTGGTTTGAGGCTTTGCAAATACACAGAAAAATCTTGTACAGTTGACTATTTGAATCTCATTGATGAATTTCGTACGGAGTAGGAGTTTGCACTCACCAAATGTAGTGAAAATGTTCATGTTATACGTTTTCATTGAATGCAGTCTTACGCAAATGCTATAGTGAGCTCTGCTGAGGACCCAGAGAAGTTACTGGACCAGACCGTGTTGGAAATGAATGAAGATCTGATCAAGATGCGGCAAGCTTCTGCACAGGTTCGTATTCCTCATTTTATTCATTTGTGGGTTTTACAGTTTGCAGGCAGGTTCATATTAAAGTAGGTACTTGAGGCTCATACTCTAATCAAGGTTTTACGATTTCTTGTTGACCTTCATCGTACTGAGGTGAACCATTGAGCGTTGACGACGGGGACGATTTCATTTCCTTGGGTTTGTGCAGGTACTAGCTTCACAAAAGCAGATGGAGAATAAATACAAAGCAGCTCAAACAACAGCAGATGATTGGTATAAGAGAGCAAAATTGGCACTTGAAAAAGGTGACGAAGTTTTGGCTAGAGAGGCTCTCAAACGTCGTAAGGATTATGAGGTACTGGCACTTAACCTCCACTGTTACTTGTGTGTTCAAGTGCGCTGCTCATTCCGACTCGGTTTCATGAATGCTTGATCTTAATGGTTTTGAAATTTCAGTGTGATTTCTACTTCGCTGTGTGAGTGGACACCAAAGTGGACTCCTAGTGTGGTAAATATATTATGTTGCACTGAGGTTGGTAGGTAGGACCTCCCAATGTGATGTGTGCGAAGCTGGTACTTGCGATTTCTTTAGAGTTCTTGCTGCGATATCTGCACAGGAAAGCGCCAAGGCGTTGAAAAGTCAGTTGGATCAACAGAAAGGTGTCGTAGAGAAACTAATATCCAACACTCGGGTAAGACAATCCCTTTATCGTTTCTTCTGCGATTAGTTAGTGTTATTTCATGTCCTTATTTATTCGTTCTGAATCAACTCGATTGCAGTACGTCTCTCGCAAGTTTATTGATTGTGATATTTAACGAGGCGTAATATGATCAGGACATATACTGACTTCAGTGTGTTGAAGTGCAGCTGCTTGAGAGCAAGATTCAAGAAGCTAGGTCGAAGAAGGACACACTGAAAGCACGAGCACAATCTGCAAAGTAGGTGTCACCTCTCTGCTTACAGTAACGCGTTGAAATTTGATGCCTGCCTTAACTACTCGGTAGTGTTATTTTGAAGACTTGCGTTTTCCTGGCGAATAAGTCGTTTACTTTTGTCGAGCACTGCATGGATGGGTTGAGAAGAACACGACTGAGATACTTATACAATGTGATAATATTGGGATGGCTACAGGACTTCGCAGAAGGTCAATGAGATGTTAGGGAATATCAACACCAGCAGTGCTCTTTCAGCATTTGAAAGAATGGAAGAGAAAGGTAACATGTTCTCTGTTCCTGTTAAATCAGACCAATTTCTGGCTCAGATAGCAGTGTGTATGTCTGAAAAGATTGGGTGGGATTAAATGTGACATCAGAACTTTGTTGAACTCAGTAGTTACTATTTCTGCATTATTTTTATTACTCATTCAGGTTGCCTGACTCTTACTACACTATCTGACCGGATTAGATGAGTGCACCTCGTAAGTTTATCTAAATTGGTAGAATCTTGTTAAGTCATGAATTACTAACTTGGTAGTTGCCTTGCAGTTTCTGCGTTGGAGGCAGAATCCGAGGCACTCAATCAGCTCAGCACGGATGATCTGGCTGGCAAGGTATGCATTCGTTCAATCCTTCCTTTAAGTGCACTTTTTAAAAACAATTTGGAGTTGGCATTCGCTTTTACAAGATAATAAAGCGGATAGATTTGTTTAATTAGAGACTGAAGTACTAATACTTTTTGCCTTTTTTTGCTGGCAGTTTGCACTCCTAGAAAGTGATTCCGTTGATGACGACCTGGCATCTTTGAGACAAGAGATGTTGGGGACTTCCAAGGTTCTATTTTCGTTTTTTCCCTCTTTCCATGACCACCTGCATCTGGAACGAAATTGGTTGTGCTTAAGCTTATTTGGAAAAGTTGTTTTTCACTTTGCTCCACATAAAAATGTACTGTCAAGCATGGGTTTTGAACAAAATGTGACCTCGTTATTTAGTGTCTAGAACAGACAAATGATGCCAGGGATAGCCGACCTTGGAAATCTCGAGTAGAGGGGGTGCTGCATTGAACTTGGTAATAAACATCACTCTTCTCCTTATGCTGCAGACTAACAATGGTGCGTTTGTGGTGCAGAAGAAGGGCGAACTGCCGGAAGGCCGCTCACAACCAGTTGCAAGTAATAGCAGTACCCCATACCCTTTCAATGAATCAGAGATTGACAGGGAACTGAACGAGTTGCGTAATAAAACCAAGGATTTTTGAGACTTCGATTTTGTTTCCTCAGATATATTGTATCAACTTGCAATAATTCTGTCAGTTAACTGTATTGTGTAGAGTGTTTCCCAATCCTGTATCTGCATTGGTTACAATGGGAATGTGAGCTTGAAGCCATTGTCTGAAAGCCACGATAAGTCATTCCCAGATTTTGTGCAAATATCTTAATAAATGCTGTCGTTGATTCCGCAACCACCTTACTACTGATCTTGGAGTGGATACTTTAAGCGAGAACTTGTCAAGGTTGAAACTTTTCACATTTCTTGGGAAATGTTTTTGGATTAATGCTTGTTAATACGATGGCATGGCGATTTACGTAATTTGCAAGAAATTCCAATTCCCGCCCACTTCAATAACTGCATATTTCTTGCAATGCCAACATCAATGTGTAACTGATGGTGCCTGTCATTGTTTTAAACAAATTCACACACACACACATATATATACATATATATATATATATATATGTACATGATTAGTGAAACCAAAGAAGGCGGAAAAACGTGTTTTGTGGAAGCGGGAAAAGGAGGTAAGAATCCTTTTATCATTTATGACGGATACAACTTCACAAAAATATGCAATGCTCATAAAGAAAATGCATCCACACAAGATTCACTGATGACATTGGAATTGAGAACAAAATTTTAAGATAAAAGCTAGTTAATTTATTCTTGTTATACACAAACAGGATCTCTACATAGTGTATGAGTCTGCAGACCGACAGTCTGGAAATGTCATCCGCCAATATGTACAGTTTTCGATGGGTAAAATATAGATACATGTGATCATTGAGCTAACACCAAGTTTCCTTCTACCTCGGCTGTAGTAGCACCTCTCATACATATTAACATGGTTCATATCCTTCCTACGTGATCACAGATAGAAAAAAACAGTGGCCAGAATCAAGATGTACCGCAAGCACAAGGCCACCACCGCGGTGTTAAGTCATTTGAACACTGAAGCAATGAATCGAATGCTGAAATTAGTTGTTGCCACCCAAGGGTCTTCCATGGACCATTTTATTTCCGCCAGGGCCGTGGACAGGATTGTCGTCTCCTGGCAACACTGGAGGCTCACCAGAGAGCTCCATGGCTTTTTGACCAATTTGGATCGCTGGAGACTCCGACATATCTTCGTCGAGGTGGCGACCAAAAGGCGAGATCTTAGCGTGAGTTGATATATTCCGCAGTGGACTACCCTCGGCGTACTGGCGGGACATTTTCATAGTCCACTCTTGTTCGTGCAACTCCGGCAACTCGTCTGTGCGTTTTGTTTTGTCGATCAACACTCCGGGGTTCACCACCAGCTCCCGGTAACCTGTCATTACTGCAAGACCCAGTCCGATGGCCACCATGCCCGCCATGGGATAGATCGGCAACAACCATGGCTGTAGAAATCTGTGCCAATTTTCAAAATAACAGTTCGCAGTCAGATTTGAAATGAGATTTTCCGACAATTTCTTTGAGAATGGTTCAAATGCTTGAAGTTCCAAAACTATGTGTCACCACTCAAATTTTTGTAAACGGCACTCACTTGTTATTCTTCGTAGCTAGATTGCTCTGCTGGTGCATGAATGTTCCGGGGTTCGAACCAGGTGGTCTCTTTGCTGCTCCTAAGTGGGCAGCCTCGGCTGAACTCATTTTCGTGGTGTCTGCATTCTCCTTCAAATACTTAGCTGGCTGCGTAGACAGTAATCGCTGCCGCTGCAACTTTGCAGCTCTTGCTGCAGCTGACCATACATGGCTAATTCCCTGTGCAATAAAGTCATCCTCGAACGTTAGCAGAAGAAATTGAAACCACATATTTCAGCTCTTACACCTAAACGCATTATCAACGAGTAGTAGATTTAACCTTTCTGGTAGGAATGTTTTGCCCCTGTGACAAGATCGATTCAGAAGTGTATAGTTCAGTCGCAGTAGAGTAATGATGACACGTACAACAATGTAAACGTACAAGTCCGTGAGACTTCTTCAATCAGAAGTTCCCACTTCTCTGAGGAAACTAAAAGCTGTCTGTTATTCAAGTGGCTCTGCGTGAAGGTCACTTAAGAACATTGATTTAAATGATGATTTCCAGAACAAGATTTGATGCCTTTGTACAGCTAATGTCCATTTCACAAAAGCAAACAGTGTCATCTACGTCTCTTACACCTTGCTCTTGTAAAATGGACAAGTTTCGAAGGGGCTCCAAAAAAGGTTCAAAACACGAGAAAACATAGTACTCTAATACTCGTGGGGTGGCCACAACCAGGACGACATGGAACCACAAGTTGAACGGACATATGATACAGCAACAAGCTCAAAATTGTAACAACCACCCCCAAGAGTCTCGCTGCAACAGAGGATGTTATTTGAAGCGCTCCTAAATAACAAGTATCACCTGAGAGAACCACCTCTGCCTCTTTCCGAAACCCTAGCATGTTCCAACATAGAATACGCCCCCAACATAACTGCGACAATCTCATCAGACGACAATCTACAAGAGCCACATTCCCAACTACCCTCGCCACCGCTGCTCTCAAGCACCCGCTCGCACCCACCAGCAACCCATAAACGTCTCCTGCTACTGAATTACGCATGCCCCACGAGTGCTCCACAAAACATCGTACAATCCACAATCCCTCAACCAAACTCCAACACCGAGCAAGCTTAACAACATGCAATCGAACCCCAAACTGCTCACTCTGGGCAATCGACACAACAGCAAGCAATAAGAACTAAACAAGTCAACCCAGCTCACCTTCTTGGCGTCCATGGCGATCGATTGAGAGCGTGCAGCCCTGGTGATCGAGCTCTGTGCCACCGATTGAGGTGTATATCTGCTTGCCAACCTGCTTGACTGAGATGGCCGAGGATAAAAGTTGCATGGCTTTCATTGGCTTTCATAGGCTTGTGATTGAGCAGCACCTCCCTCACTGACAGATTCCCGCGCGATCTGCTCACCTGGCGCCAGCTGGAGAAGCTCTCGTGATGCCATCTGGATTACTACGACCACGTCATCATTCTGACTCCCTCGCGGCGTCGTTAGGCGTCATGGTGACCTCGTGGCTAGGGCAGGGGCCGAAATTTCTGACTCCGCGGTTGGTGTTTAGGAAATGGCTTATTGCCGTCAAGTCTTCATTGTTATTATTATTATCAAAAACCTTTTGGCGAATTTCATGAACTTATTATAGGATTACATGCTTGTGAGAAGAGTGTAAGTGTGTTTTTCATATTTATTATTATTATTTTTTAAAAATTTCTTGTACCTTGATTGGACTGTATGTGTGGATTCTAACCACAAAAGGAGACAATGTGTCAACTTCAACAATGAATTGTGTGAATGAGAGTTAGAGTTTCAAATTGCACCGATTTGTTGGAGATGGGATTCCAAAATGAAAGGGATTTCTGAGTGCAACTTTAAACATTACATGCACAATTTATCATACGTGAAAGTTATTAAAATAGTGTTTAGCAAGTATACACATAGCATAAATATCGCATAGTCACATATATAGATGCATGAAATGCATACTTATTTTTATAATTACCTCAGTAATTTCATGCCATATAGCATGGCCTTCAATATTTTTTACATTATAATATTGCCTCTTATTATGTATTTTTCTAGTTCTAAATACATCTTCCAAAAAACATTCTAATAGCTAAGGTCAAATGTTATTGTGACAATTTCATCACCATTATGAATAATTCAAAAAAATCATTCCAGTATGATTTGATTATAAAATTTATATCAATATTTTTACTAACAAGAAACAGAACTTTGGTATTTTGTTTTTTACTTCTTGGCCTTACCAATGCAATTTTATGTGGTAATTTCTTTCCAATATTTAATGGTTGTTGTTTGCCCATATGAACAAAACTATATTTTATTGATAATTTTGTACCTACTAGTTCTTTGATGTTCTCAAAGTTCACACTTTAAAGTACAAAATTTAGTACCACACCCTGTAAATGATAATGTACGTTCTTGTAATACCTTCAAGCACATTGCATCCTCAAAAAATAAATGTAAATAAAGTAGTATTACAAGATACATGATAACTTGGATGTGTAAAATTTTGTGATAATTTTGTAGAAGTTGGCATTTCTATGGTGTCTTAAGAATTGTTTTACAGAAAATACATAATAAAGTATACAGTGACTAATATTTTAGTATTCAAAGTAATATCCTTTTATGTTTATTATACTACAAAAGTTTTAATCATTATGCAATATATTCATACAATATTTCAAAGGAAAAATCAATTTTATTACATTATCTAATTTAAAGATGCATTAAGATGGTTTTGACATAAATTATATATCCATATACACTCATAAAGTATAAGTTACAGAATATAATCCAGAAAAACTAAACATTTATTATATTTTCAAAAAAAAAAATGAATATGTTGTCTATCATAACACATATATTTAATATGTATAAATCAATGTTTTATATGTCTATTATATAAGACAACTTGGATATAATATAAAAAGGCAAAAAAGCTTTTTGATTGGCCATGAAGGAAGGAAGGAATCACAAAGTGTTTAGGATCTCAACGATCTCTAAGAACCAAGTAGTTGGGATCATAAAGATTTTCAATAACCACTTTTCTACTCCAAAACTATTGATTGCAAAAGATACATTCTTTCTCTTTCTTCAATGTATACTTGTATTATATTTTTGCTTTGTCCTTGCTTTCATCTTCACTCCCTCTTGTTGGTTGGTTAAATTTCTTGTTTATTAGTTTTATTCTTCTTCTTGCTCTTCTTCATTTCTATCCAAGTTATGCTTTGTCTTTTTTATCAATGTCTTGCAAAGAAGCTTCTTTGTTATGCTGCATAATACAACAGAATAAGGTTTTGCAAGCAATTCTCAACGATAGTGTCTTCCATCTATGCTATCAAGGAAGAAAATTAGAAGGTATGCTACTTTTAGAACCAAATACCTCTGCCTTTATCATTATCTAAGATGTATTTTGGAATAGCTACAATGCTTTGCTTCCTTAGATTAGTATGCTTAAAGTTGAATTTTGTGGAATTGGGCTTTGAAAAATTGTATGCACATAGTAGATGCTTTGATAGCTTGTATTTGCATAATTGAAATTGAATAATTTTATGTGTATATACATAATATTTTATATATTTTTACATATAATTCTATATATATATATATATATATATATATATATATGTGTGTGTGTAATTGACTACATTGAAGTTACATCTTTGTTGTGATGTTTGCCAATAAAAGTAATTTTTGAAGCACATATTTGAAAAGAATTTAGTACAATAAATGTGCCTCTAAAACTTATATTAATACAAATAAATGTAATAAGATTGAAAGTTAAAAGGCTATTCCTTGAAGAATGGATCATAAACCTTAAAAATCTAAAAATATTGAATAGCACGTCTTCTTTGTCACATAGTTATTTTAAAAAAATAAGATTAATTGACACAATAAGCTTGAAGATGCAAATAAAACATGTAATTGGCTAGATATGGAACTAAATTAAGAACTACAAGCTCATCTCCAATGAAGCACCAAATACATCATTGTGAAAGAACACCTACAAATATAACAACAAAATCATCATACATTTTTTAATGGATTTTCTTCCATCTTCTATAATAAGAAGCTATGAATCTTTAGGATGTAAATATATTTTTTATTCCACAAGTTTCAATGAAAAAACTTTATATATACCAATTTTTTTGCTTTTGATTATGATTTTCATAGCCATCACTTACAAAATATATTTAAGATTTGGCAATACTTTATGTGTGATGTAGTTGTAATTAATTTAGCCAAAGCTATTATGATTTTCTCTAGGTGTAAGTTAAATGGCATCATATATTGCTTGTTATTTTATTGTAATATGACTATTAAATAAAAGAAAAAAGAAAATATTATATTATAGAAGATCTTATTTTAAACTATAAAAGTAAATTGTCTTATAAATATAAATAAAAGTTAAGGAGGTAATGAAATTAATAAGTAATAATATATATATTTTTAAAAATAAGCTTCTATTTACTTTATAGAACCATAAATGAGGCAAAAAATATAGACTAAAAATAATAATATTATAGGCATCTTTATGTAAAAATAAAAAATAAAAATCAACAAAAAATTACTTAGATAAATCTTATATTGATACCCATAGAAGGTTGATTACAAACCAAGGATGAAATTAGACTTTACGACACAAAACCATATACTTATGACAAATGGAGCTTTTTAATGTTGATTAGAAAGTGAAAATATCAAAAAAAAAAAAAAAAAAAAAAAAAACTTAATGAGGGTTGTTTGAATATTGATTTGGAGTAATTTAGATTGATATTGAATTTGTAAGAGCTTTACAAAGTTAGAAGTATTTTAGGTGATTTGGAATTTTAGGAAATAAAAAAGACTTATATTATTGAAAATTTGTGACTATAGTAGCATATTGAAAAGTGAAATTTTGTAGGATTGTAGATCTACTTGTTATAAATGTGCTTTTTTAATTTAAACTCAATCAAAAAATCAAATTAAAGGTTAATAATATTCAATTGGTTTAGAGTCTTTGAATTCGGATTTTAATGGTTAGTAAAGGTTTCTTTAATCTAAAGCAATCTACTAGTCAAATTGAAATAAGATTTTATAATCAAATAATAAACTTAATTTATATATAAAAATAAAAATAAAAATAAATTTTAAAAAAGTGAATGCTTTAATAAAGAGCTATTATTGCTAGTACATTGATATTAAGATTGGTGAATAATAATCATCAAGACATAAGAAAATAGGATTTTTTTTTATCTCAATTAGTAAGTTCAATTTTCTTTAAAATTTTATGTGCTTGCTATTAACTTCTAGGATAAAATGTTTGTAAATTTTTAAGCAAGATCAATGGTTTAATTCTTAGTTATTAAGATTTTAAGACTACTATAGGAATTGGTTAAGGTTTGTTAGAATTTACCTAGAATTTGGTTAGATTATCTTTAGGATTTCATTAGGATTGTTAGAATTTATTAAAGATTTATATAAAATTTTATTAGGATTTATATAGGATTTACTAAAGATTTATTTAGGATTTTATTAGAGTTTATTAAGATTTATATATGATTTTTTAATGATTTATTTAGAATTTGATTATGATATCTTTAAGATTTTCTTTATAAAGATTTTTTGAAAGATTTTTTTTATGATTCTTTAGGATTTTTTTAAAAATTCTTTAAGATCTCTTCACAATTTAAATAAGATATGATTAGGATTGTTAAGATTCAATTGGAATTTGATTAGGATTGTTAGGTTCTTTATTTATTGTAAAATACAAATTTACCTTCCACAATCAAACACTTAGTGCATTCTTAATCAAGATGATACGTAATTTGAAACCTCCATGAATTTCCAAGAGCTCTCTTGTGTCTTGTAGAATGAATTGTTTGTCAGCCATTGCATTGAAAACACAAATAAGAAATAAAATATTGTTATGAAATTTGAGGTTCTCTTACACAACTACAGCATATGGAATATTTTATTTGTGAATGAAAAAATAACTAGCTTACAAGCTTAATTATTAGTCCAAAAATTCATACAAATAGAAGTTTTAATCACAATAATCTTACATAAATTTTAAAAATCAACAAATTTCACTCTATGGTCTCAACAATTTTTATAGTTTAGATAGTAACTATGAATTTAATTTTTTTATCTAATAAATCCCTCAAATGTCATGCAATGACTTTTTAATTTAATTTTAAGTTTTTAATGATTTTTGTAACTTATAAAATTCCAATTTCTTAAAAATATTTAAAGTAATCATTAAAATAAAATAAATCTAAAACTAGATTATATATATATAAAGATAAGTTGTATAAATGAGATCTATTAAATGTCTAGTTTTTTATTTTTTTTTAGTTAAATTTTTATGGTTTCATTAATATTTGGATATCAATTTTTTTTTCTATTCTCTTTTTTCAAAATATTTCCATGCTAAGTCTAATATATTAAAGATCTTGGTTAGAAAAGTAGAGGGACTTTATTCCAAACTTCAGCAAATGTTTTTTCTTAAAAACATTATGTTAGTTTCACTTCTGTTATAACATGCCTAAAAAAATAAAAATAAAACATGCCTAAAAGAAAATTTAAAAAATAGTCAAATGAGGGATTTTTAAAATGTTTATTACTCATTTATTTGTTCATTCTTTTCTTCATTACACTCAAACATTTTATGGCTTTTAATTATAAGGCATGAAGAATAAATGTAAAAATGCACTAATGACATAATGAATTTAAGAAACAATTGCATGGCTGTGAACAATCAAGTGCATTTCTTTTAGTTTATAAAGCAGCAATCCTTCATATATCTTTAATAATTTTTGTGAACTTTCTTCTTCTTTCAACAAAAAGTAATTTTACTCACAGGATTATTAACAAGATTTGAAGTTGTAAAATACACCAAAGTTCTTTAAATTATAACTATTATATACACATGCACTTACCAATACACAACAGTAATACAATCCAATATTTCCTGCCTATTCAATGCTTGGGAGAGGATAATACATTGGATTAAAAAAAGAGGCACATCCCAATTGGAAGAGATGTTTCAAAAAAACATGGAGTAGGTGCTTTCAAAGTGAAACTTTCTTCATTTCTGTGGGTACATTGCATTATTGGAAAAAATATCCCAAGGAAGGATTTATCAAAATGTGAAGATTCTCTAAAATTTATCAAGTGTCACAGCTTCCTCGATGCCCACTATTGAGTACTATAATGGAAAAAATTGAAAAGCACTTGAAGATATGTTTTTGGGTTACAAGACATTCATGCAACGGTAAATGCAAGACAGTATTGTTTAATTGTTTTTGTCATCCCTCTCCCCTCTCTATACAGCTACAGACAACATCTTATTACAGCATGTTGAGAGCCCCGGGGAAAGCATGAATCCGTGTGTCTCCCTCCGCTCCAATTGCTCTGTTTAGATGTGAATCAGTGTCACCTAAATGCTGTAGAACTGAAGAATCTCTTCACGGTGCGAACAATTCTCAAGTTGAATGTGTTTGTAGTTAATCCACCTTCAAGTCAAGTAATGGAGTAATCTGCCAGAAGTCCTACGACTATGACTCCCGCTACTATTCATGTCACTTTGTACATGACATTCGAGTACTTCAACCAACTGCAGATGCATTCCTGTAGGAAAAATCGTTTGAGTCTTCGCAGGACATCACAAAACAAGGAAAAAAACTCGGCATGCCGCTGTGGCAACTGGATGAACATATCTCGGCACAACGCCAACACCACCTTCAACAACTTGAGCATTACGACCTGAAGGTTTCGATGTGGACTTCAAATCTGAAATCGCCTTCACGCTACTGGAAGAAAAGGAACTGCGGTGCCGAAAAATGTGAAAAGGTTTCAGTATGAGTTGGTACTCCAATTGTACAGCCAGTAGAGAGGCAATCGATCGCCGGGGCCAGCAGGCACTCGCAGGGACCGAATTTCTTCGTCGAGCTTGGCGAGGTCGACTGTGAAGTGGGGCGTGTGGTAAGAGCTCTTGCATTCTGTCGTATTGCCAGCTGAAAGAGCTGCAACCCGCTCACCCCACGGATTTCCTTGCGTCATGTGCTTCAGCTCGAGTGCAGGAACAATGGTCGACGCCAACCATGTCGTAGGACCACAAGGTCCGTAAATCTCGATCACGGCCGCACGTTTTGGCATGAACAACGTAGCCCAGGTGTTCGCACCGTGCGGTGTAATGTACACATCAGTTTGCGCCATGAGCGAAACAACCTCCGGCAATGACTGGTTGTAAGCGCCACTTGCCAGAAGCTCATCAACAATTGTCACAAGCAGAGGCGGTTGCGTCATTGAGCGAAGGTGCTGTGCCACTTCATCAATGTTCACTATCCGTCTCCGAGAAGCATCTCCTCGTCCATAGAGCGTGACTCGCATGGGGCGTGGTGGGGTGGACAACTTCGGGTCTGGAATCCGGAAGTAGCTGTAGGCTGCTTTGCGATAACGGTCGATAGCTGGACCGAAGTTCTGCAGCCCTAGGTGTGGAGTCATTCTTCCAGTTGCGTCAGCTGAAAGAGTTAGGCTCTCAAAACACAGTGGTCGAGCCTCATTTTCTCCGTGCTGAAGAAACTTTGCCCCCGGTGCAGCGGTTTTCGCCAGTATCGCAACTTGGTACATGAATGTGTTGCGGTCCATGTTGTGGTGAGCCTGTTCCAGCCATTTGTGCATGCGGTGCACATAATAATGGTTCACAGGTGTGTAGCTCCCGTCAACTGGATCCTGAAAACCAGACAAAAGCGGCCACACGCGCTCGGAAAAATGGTGGAAAACATTCCCAAGGTATGGAACTATGTGTGTAGTGTTTCCAGCGAGCCACAAGGCGTCCTTCGGTGTGTCTTTTTCAAAAGCTGAGCCTGGACAGTTCGATGAGCAGTTATATGTCTCGCCCCATTCGGAAACCATGACTTTCCCTGCTGCTGCAAGGTCCTGCAAAAATTCTTCCGGAGACAAACCGACCACCACGATTGTCCCCTTGGGAGTGATGCACACATTCTTCAGAGGCGGCATCCCGTAGCGCATGAAGCGAACATTGTCACTGTCTCTTGTGTCGATGTGAGTTCGCAGCCCCTTTGGTGCAAGCTCGGTGAGATTGTCCCAGTGCACGACAACATCGGAACTGAACGTCTCATGCACCGTTGGCGAATTCACAAGAACTGGAGCAGCCAAAAGACTGCTGTCCCATGATTCTCCGAGCCGCAGCACTGCAAGAGCGTCCCTCTCGAACCGTGAGCACGCTACCCGTGCCCTCGGACTGCTGGCGAGCTCTTTTTGCAAGAAAAACTCGCCTACGAGGAAGAACAGCAATAAAAACGAGATCAACTGAATAAATTTCACCGGCTGCTTCGAGCACGACTTCCCCTTCGCCTCCGAGATGGGCGTCATCGTGCCACCCTCTGATCTTCACCAAGACTTAACACTATATAAAAACTCCGAATGCAGCGCTTCACGTTGTCACAACAACGTATCGCGCACACCTACTGGCAACCGCCTTGCGTAACAGAAACATTGGATTCAAATGCAATTCACTCCATCAGTGCCAGCGGCCAGGAGGTGGTAGGTCACATCTGCGGTTTAGGTGCATGCGGGAGCACACTGCAGCGAAATGAGAACCGATTAAAAAACAGCCGGGTCGCGATGAAGCACCTGCAACGCATGCCCTGACGAGGTAGTGAGACCCTTCACCACCATGACCACGGAGTCGCTTCCCGCAGTGACTAAACTCCATCCCCTCTAGCCAATGATCCCTGACGTTTCCCACTATCCCACGATCGTCGAGCTGCTGTTAATTACAACGCCGGGGGAGAAAGGACCGCTTCGATCTGTCCAAGAAAAGAAAAAAAATGTGAGCATTCTCGTTACCAGTGCAAGCAGCAGTACCGCTTCCACTACTACTCACTCTCGCTCTCTCTCTCTCTCTTTCTCACGTGTCGCAACGTCTCGAATTTCTACGACGACAACGACGACGACAACGACAACGACGACGACGATGACAACGACGATGACAACGACGATGACAACTCCTGATAATGCACCATGTCACGATTCCTGGCGGAGCCCAGCTGGGGCTTTAACACATCGCCGGCGAGTTAGCAGAAACCCCCTAAGATCGACAGCGCAGCGATATTCTTACTGGCAGCTAAAGTTAAAAAGAAAAAATGCAAAAACTTTCACTCACAAAACAACTGGTTCAGAATCTTGCTCAACAGCACGCACCCATACGCATTCACATGTTTATAAGATCACTCACTCACACTCTCTCTCTCTCTCTCTCTCTCTCATACATACATACATAAATACATCAAGTTTCAGAGCTAATACTCACCTTGTCTCTTTCTCAGCAACAACAACCTTAACGCACACAATCCCAGTGGGTGCCGTATTTTGCAACCCTAGTTAATGCCCTTCGTGCAATTTACCACTGTTTGTGCATGCCCATCTCCAAAGGCACCGCCTTTATTAATCTCCCTGATTGGTGCCACGGCTTTGGGTACCGGATTGGAAGGTGCCTGGCAGTGAGTGCACGCTGACCTTATTACTAATTAATTAAAGAAAGTTGACTCTGTATCTTATAAAGGTAAATAAAGGTGGTTCTATCACCGTCGCACGTTCGATGTGAATCAAGTGGATTTATATCTAGAATTTTACATTAGCATATCTTTTACCATATAACATGTTACTACTAATATACATAAATACATATATATATATATATATCCGTACCATATAAATTTATTAGGCAACCAAACATAGCACAAATTGTTGTGTTATGTCAAAACAATCATCACACTTTTTCAGATTAAAGATAGTGATTTGTACATGTTTTCACTAAAATTGTCAATTGGGGAATTAAAACGTTGTTGAATACCTCTCCAGAATTAAACAATACTTGGTGACGCCGTAAAAAATGAGTGAAAATACGGTCATTCAAAAGATAAGTAAAATAATCATTGTTAGTCTTAGTAAAATATGATATTTTATTTAAAAAAAGTTCAATCAGTTTTGGAACAAATTAAACCATAAAATTTCATTAAGGGTTGTATGGCGGGAAGGCATTATGGTATTGAACCAAAATGAAAGTAAGTGAGCGTACTGATATCAACGTTCAAAGCAAAGGATTACTATTGTTAATGTTAGCAAAACCATGAAATAAATTCCTCAATTAGAACATGTGCCTCATGACCTCAAACTTAATAGAATTTGGAATCTTATTTCGAGCCTAGAACAGTGAATTTCAACTTGTTGTTATTATTATTATTATTATTATTATGATTGCAATACTTTATACGTTTTATGATGTGGAATTTTACAGTAGTGAAGACTTATTGTGGTTGTAAAACTTGGAAATAGTGTGACCATGAGATTGATGTGGATAGTGATGAGATGTCAATTTCAAATGAAGTTATTATTATTATTATTATTATTTTGTAGTGTACTTGAAAATATAGTAAAATTATTTTAAAAAAACAAATTATGACATCTTGTACAGTTCTAAAAGCATTCCATGAATTTGGTGTAACGCCAAAGAGAAGATTACATTTTGAAGGATAATAGTATTGCATGCAATTTATGGCAACTTTTGAGAAATTTTATTGTAATGGTTTTTTGAAGATGGAAATTTATTTCTTATAGTGCCCTCTATTTTTCTTTTTGAAATGTTCAGATAGAAAAAAATAAAATAAAAGTATCTATATATGTATATATATATATATATCACTTGCTTGGGAATAAAAAGCAGTCTTAGATTTATTAGACATTTTTCTCCACAAAAGATAATTATGTTAGACTGGACTTTTGAATTCTTGAGTTGCGAAGGCGTGCAAGATCTTTTTTATTTTAGTGTTTCATGCAGTAATAATGTTTTGCACTGCATAGAGATCTTTATTATACTCAAGAAGCATACCTTGAAGATGAAGAGGCTGTTGTTGTACTACCAAGAATCAATCCACTGTTCAAGAAAAAGCTCGAGCAGCCACTGGATTAAAATTTAATATTAGATCATGAAGGAGAAGGTATTTTACAATAATCGTTGCTCTAACACCATGTTGTTCTAAAGGAAGTTCACACATGGAGCGTGCAATGGAACAATTTCATTAATTTATTAATTGTGATATACGGACTTAGACTTCATAGTGAAGGAAAAAAATGGTTATAAACGTGTGTTTACTAGAAAATAAATTGGTACTAGTCATTTGTGTCTACTCGCCAATGTTCACTGAACTAATTACTGGAACATTAATTGTTATAATAATGCAAACCTTGGAAGACCATCTTGGGTATTTCCTGCTACAGGCAACCACGTCTAGCAATGTGATTGTATCACCTAACAATTCAGTTAACAAATATTCACTTTTATCATCACATGCTCCGAAATGGAAATGTGCATCTACTTTAAGAATTCGCTAAATCTTTGTTGTTATGAACAAGTATACAGAAGAGGAGAGCATTCCATTCAAAGCCGAATAGAAGAGCATCTAGAAGCGAATACTAGTCTTCTTCTTCGCCGATTAAACCAGATGGCCTTGAACCCCCTTATCAGTGGATTGTTTCTACGCACCTGAATCTAAATCTATGACTAATATGTGACAGAATCATTGAGTTGGGAACACAGCCATTTGGATGAGGGTATCACTGCCTTCATAACCCAAGCTTGGGCTCTATCCTCTAGCAGCGTTTGAAGAAATAGCAATGCCAACTATGGGAGCAACAGTAGACGCAGGAAGGCTGACGGACTTGAGCTTATTCTCCCCTGCAAGCAACCATCTCTGGATCGCCAACATGACAACCCATGTACTCCTAGCAACTTTCTCTTTGATCATAAGCATGAGAGCAGCAGATAAAACGGTCTTAACGATTTGTGCGTTCAGTCCCTTGAAGTAGCCCTTCAAGCCTTCTTCTGCCCATATCTGATGAAACGCTTCCACCATGCTTCTAGCACGGCGTCTCACCTTCAGGTTTGTTGTTGAACTGTTCAGACGCAGGACCTTGTCTTCGTCAGATTCGGCTGCTTGAAGCATTACCTTTGCCCTGCAAACAAAACAATCACAACTCAGCATACGAGAAAAAACAGCTCCTTGATGTGTAAATCCACGACGTTTGACCACTTCTCATGATGAAATTATTACATGACTAGTAACAGTAATCATCCCCAAATCATAATATTTCCGGCATTGTTAGTATGTAACATGAAATGAATAAAAAATGTACCTGATGGCTGGATAAGTGATAACTGTAGCAATAGTTTTGGAAAAGGCTCCAATCAAGAATGCTTGGAAAGCCGTCAGCACCTTCGGAGACGACCTACTGAGAGGCTGATCCGTTCCCACAACCTCGACGACCACTTCTGGTCGTAATAGGAAATCCTTCAGCTGTTCAAATACGGTGTACTGTAACAAAATCCCCAAAGCAATGTTCGTTAGTTAATTCATCGTGTTCGTAACCATGTTATTCTACCCGAATCAGAACCACCACAATACCCACTAAAATCTGTACCGCAAACAAAAACACAGGATGGAAACAAACAGAAGTCAGAAGCCCAAATCCATTCCGAAGGATAGTTCAAGTTAAAATCCTTTCCCACAATACTACGTGTAGATCGAGAAAAGCAGGACATTCATCTATCAAATCTCAAGTGACTGAAGGACGGACAGCCTTCTGTTAAAATTCTCGAAAAATGAGAATCACTTGGTACCTGAATTGCAGGGTTAGAAACAAGCGCAAGAGATGCTCCAAAGCCAGAGTAAGCCTCCTGCAAGCTGCCTTCGGTCAATGTGGCCCATAATCCTTTCGACTTTCCGAATGCGCTCGTTTGCATCCTAGTTGACGCCACATCTAGTGGCTGCACCCAATTCACCCAAGATATTATGAACTCGTGTAGATGTGGGAAAAAGAAATAAAAGAAAAAGAAAATCATGCACTTCGCACTTCAGAAAAATCAGCATTAGTTACAAACCTGTGTCAATACTGCAGTGCATGTGCCAGCTGCTGCAGCTACTAGTAGATTAGTTCCAGTGCCCATCTTGGATACTCTAGCCTTAGCTAAATACCACTTCTTGAAGATGCTGTAGCTATAGAAATAGATAAATTGAGAAACGACCGACTGCAAATTCTTCGTGGCAAGGCCTTGGTACAAGGATAAAATCTTGCCAGATTTGAGGGACTCTTGGAACACATCAAACAAAGACCTGTAAAATGAAAAACTCTCGATAAGTGACTGAAATCAACATCGTTTACAGCTTTGAGTCACCACTCCAGCTGATCCAAAACCAGGATACAGAATGTAGGTTGTGAGCAAGGAACCGGAAATCAGTCTACGATGAAGATGCCGGGGCTTCATTATGCCATGATCGGCGTCGACACCCATGTTCTTACTTGTATTTTCGTGCCTTTCCAGCTTTAGCTTCCGCCTGATACTTGGATTTGCATGTATCCAACGGATAGAGAATGGTGGTGCTAAGAAGTCCTCCAACGGCACCAGATGTCGCCTCCGTCAAAGACTTAAAATCCAAAGCCATCTTGCTCGCTCCTTAATCTTCCCACTTTACTACAATTCAGTTTTTCGCACTCTCTGCACCCCAAATTAACTCTTAAGTCCTTCAAGCTTGCTCCGAAGCCGCATTAAAAGAAAGAGTTGAATAAAGAGAGCAATGGTCGCATGACAGCAATTTTCTACTCCCAGATATGTTCGACATTCACGACAAGTTTTCAACTAATTATGCAATAAAAGTAATTCACATTTACAAGCCATCCATAGCATACAACAGAATCCTCGCTTCTCTTGTGTATTAGTAAAGATTCTGAATACTCACACTTTCACTTACACTTCACAATTAGAGAAGACTCTGTACAAGCACAACTTCGTCACTCAGTTCAGCAATTTCGAGTGTCTTGCACCAACTCCTCATCCTAAAATCAACAACAAGATCCTCCATAAAATTACCAAGCAAACCTCTGTAACCCAAAATCCATTCCTAAATGGAAAAAAAATAAAGTAAAAAAAAACGTCAACTCATAAACGTGAAATGCTTTTGAACTAACGCTCTGATGAGGTCTACAAGTCAACCCACAACAGCAACACACACAAGGCATTTCACAAAATTAAACTCTGAAACTTAGTGTTGGTAAACCGCAAGAAAACTAGAAACGAAAACCCCAACATAGACGATCCCTTCCCACAAAGTCGCGATCGATCGCGCGGCGATCATAAGCAAGTTCACACTCATTCTGCAAACAAAAACCAAGAGATCATTCTCCTAACTCTAAAACTCACGCGTTAAGAAAAACCTCGCACTAGGGCAAATGATTTTGAGAAAGCTCACCCAATTAACCGCAACTGTGCCAAAACCCAACTGCGACTCATTCGATTGCTTCACTGACACAGATCCTCGTGTCCTGCAAAACCTCTGGCGTAGTCACTTGGCCAAGTCACTCAAGCACTACAAGTACATCCAACAATTGAAGCTCCGCGCGGACTGAGGTCGACAACGAACTCTCGATCGCGTTGTCGATGAACACCAAATTCTAAGCAGCAGCAGCATCATCCTACCCACGCTCAATTGCCACTGCAGGTGCGAAGCGTGACGAGGTGAAGACTTATCACACGCTGGCACACTGCCAAGTTCCGAAATTCATGACCGTAGGTCTCCACGTTTCACAGCCGCCTGCCTTGCCGGACTTCAACCCCAACCCCCGATCCCGCACCCAGTTAAAATCTAACGGCATCGGTAAGCCCATCGGATGAACTCCGAAATTGGCATCTTCGGTGTGCACTTAGGGGCAATAGGGCTTTCGGAGATAGCCAGATTGATCAACAAAATAGGAGATGCTGTAGGTTTAGGGAGAATGTGGATAGATGTCGGAGAGCATGTTAGTTCCGGGGAACATACGATGCGGATGTTCAGCGGGCATGAAGATGATCTGGCAATGCTGGAATTTGCCGCTTTGGTGAATCTGATTAGAATGCCCACGTGTCGAAATGGATTCTTGGGTTTGGGTGTTTTATTTAGTGTGTGATTCATCAGGCATTTGAGCGAGTTGGCTGACTAACGGCATCTGGACGTTGAAAGGCAGGAGGTGGGGTCACCAGGTGTGGCCTTTTCGGCGATGGTGTGAAAAGCCGAGGAATCGACAGAAAGAGGCGGTCGCGCTTTTGTTTGTAATGTGTAGCGGCATCAAGGAGTTTGCGTTATAAACGAGTGAATCGTGCTGAGGGTAACCGGGAAGACCTCGAAAAAGCACGTCAAGCAGAGCTGGGGCCTTAACCGTGAACAATCCTCCACCCGCCTTCACTTTCTTGCATGCCAAATCTGTGGGCTACTAGTTTTGAATTCCGGAAATCCTTTTGTTGACGAATCCAACAGTAGAAAGTAACTATTCTGTGAGGCTATGACCTCACCCCTGACCAACAAAACACGCGTAGTCTTGCGCGTTGCAATGAAAATGGAAAATGGTTCAAAGATTCAGTCAAGAGGCAGAAAGTGTAAAAAACTAGGGCTTCTTTTTTCAGTCTCAATCACATGATGCGACTGTGTTGGAATGTTACATCGGAGCTGAATAAAAAGAATCTTTCATATGAACCTGCTTGAGAGCTTGTGTATATATCCTACTGACCGTCCTAGTTCCCCAGTGGCTCGAGGAGTAGAAAATTGATTCCATTGTTTTTTCATCACAGTTTCAAAAATAGATGGACTAGAGAATCACGTTGCCAAATTAGATGCATGGGCAGATGGAGAAGGGGAGAAGGGGAGAAGTGTGCAACCTCCGCTTCAAAAGCAGTTCAAACAGCCAAAATTTTACTTAAGCTGGCTCGAGCAGGCGAAGTAGTAAATTAGCTGTACAGCATTCAGACTTCTGGCTTTCTGGATCTCCTGACTGACGAATGTTGTAGCTGACTTCGCAGCTTCAATGTTCCTTACAATGCCCTTTTGAGTGTAGTACTCAATCACCTGGATGTGACGAATTTCAACAAAGATGTACATCCCGCAACAAAGTAGTACAAAATAAGTGATGGTCTCTAAACACATCGACAACTTCCACACTCAATCTGCAGCTCTAACGAAGTTGCAGTAAAGATGCAACTGACTCAACTGCTCCGTTCAAGGATACAGATCAAGTAAGAGCTAACATATAAACCTTCCGAGATACATTCTCTAATTTGGAAAATGAACCGGAAAGAACAGCTGGGAACATGCAACAGAAAACTCACAGGTGTGGACTGTTCGTGGAACGACGGCAGAAACTTCTTCCATACTTCCATGGTGTCATCTTTGCGTTGAATCAAATGCACTCCAGTGATCTGCTGGCCACAAATTCAAACCTAAAAATATGCTCTGACCCTAGATGTTTGCATGGCCACGTGGAAGAGACTGGCACCTGTGTCCCTGCAAAGTGCCCATTACAAGAAATTTAGTTTCCTTCTAACAAAGCATGACAAGCCGCTTTCGTAACAAGGTACAGAGAATAACGAATTGTGTTGTTTTAGAAATGAAATATCATAATTAAGTTAAATGACCGTGAAACTCATACCACTGCGGCCAGCCACCTTCGAGGGTGCGAACTCGGAGTCATATAAGATCGGCCACTGGCAAGGTGAGTCCACCGGTCAGTGGTAAGCTCTTTAAGAACGGCATCATAAATCTCTACATATAGCAACTTAACGATCTTCATGCCCTGCTTTCCTAGAGTGGCATTCCAACTGCTAGGAGTGCATGAATATCACTAGCATTGACAAAACTAGGTACTCCATTGAGGTACGAATTGCTCGGATCACAGAGCTCAAGGTTAAACAATTATCCAGAAAGCAAAAGAGGGCAAGAACAAGAATAATAGCATCATTGTTTTCTTCTGCTTGAACGACAATGGGGAGAAACCAGCTAGAATAAAATCCTGCGAGTATGACGCCCGTTTCAAACCATCGCCAATCATGCTCACCTCTAAGTCATCGAGCACCAATGCGCCTTGCCAACAAACGCCTCCATCTATATCAATACATGCTGCAAACCCAGAACCCGCTTCTACCCTATACCACTTTCATCCACTTTCCATGCCACGAAATTGGAGCCTATGAGTATATGGTCCATGACTGCCTTGGCATGTACGCCTAAGGACGCCTGCTGGTCAACCGCTGCGCGCAGAATACCGCCCGTCGCCAACCGGTCCAGGCAGTGCCCCTCCTTGAAAATGAGGATCCGGGTTCCCTCCCCACATCCTGGACGCCCAACATACCCAAACTGGTCACATCAACGAGCGAGAATTCAATCTTTGTTCAATTGTTAGCAACAAGAAAATTTCAGAAATACTCCAAAAACACAAAAAATCTCAACAAAATCCCAAGAACCCGCAAGAGCCACAAACCAACGAGCATGACGCACTTCTACTTCTTGGGGGCGAGATTCGTGAGACGCAGAAACTCATGGAAGAACATGTCATTGGACACACACTTGAGATAGGCAATAGCAGCGGCGACCATGGCGTACCTTCGGGGATTGAAAAACTTGCCAGTTAGCGATGCAGCACAACCACTAGAAGAACCTGGTCAGGATAGTTAGAACGAAAGCTTCAGAAAAGAACCCACATGCAACGTACAACGGAACATGAGAGGATAGATATGGTGCTGAAGGCGAGATTGCGTCTGTGCATCGCCTTCTCCACCAAAGCTTCGAGGTGTCCCCGCAGCGGATTCATCCTATGAGATATACATTCATCCATTCGCAGAGCAAGCCCATCTTCGTCTCGGCATCGTCTCCAGAGCGTCGGCGAGCGCCACTGCTTCAATGTCGAAGGCAATCACGCCCCAATTCCGAGTTGCAATTCCGAAAGCTCTTCCGTCGTTGTGGCATCGAAGAATTTTCTGTCATGGGTGCTGTCTCAGCGCCACTGCGCTCCTCCCTGTTGCCCTCCCCTCTGCTTCCCCTGAGGGCCAAATCCTCTCTTCACCCGAACCTTATCCACCACCACTTGGCGTTACGCTTCAGCAGGGTGTCGCTGGCCATCAATTGCGTGACCCAGCGGGAAAATGGCTCCAGAGATGGTAAGACGCCTGCGCCTGCGAGAATTTCAAGACCCATTTTGGATATCAACGAGAAAGGGGAGATTTATATCAAAGATGTAGGTGGAGTGCCGGCCGCTGGAGAGGTAGATTCGAAGCGAAAGGCCAAGACGGAGCCAGCGTCGAGGATTAGTGTGGGCGTGAAGAAAAGCGGCGCGGTGCCCAAGTACTCCAAAGCGGCGCGTAGGTTTTATAACGAGACTTACCGGGCTGAGTGCGAGAGGTTGAGTAAGGTGTTGGCGGCTGCCGGAGGTGAGTGTTGCCGCGGAGCTCATGTTTGACTGGCATTGTGTAGGGATGGATTATATTGAAGGCTGGTATTCGGCTTGCTGCACGCTTCACTGTACACATTTTGGGGCATAAGTCTTCCTCCATGGTTTCGATGTGAATTACCCTTCAGGTAGGAGGGTTTTGGCTTCTTGAGCTGGGTGCCGGATCCAAATTTGGTGTTGCTTTAAAGTAGAGTTGATTTTGTGGTGCAGTTGCATCCCGGCGGGGTAGTGAAGACATTATTTTCGCTGGCCGAGTGAAGGTGAATGGCAAAGTTTGCACGGTACCGCAGGTGTGGACACTATTCCCTTGTAGAAGTGTTTCGGAATTATCGCAGGTCTTACACAGATATGTTATTGTCATACGTTTTTCTGTGATTACATTAGTTTCATTGTTGTTATACAAGATTGCAGTTATTAGCTTTTGCTGGTATGGGGCAATGTACATTGGGGTTCAGGGTTTAAGTTAAGTAATTGATGCTGGAAATTTGGGAGAATTTTTTTACTCACTTTCAAAACCCTGAAGCTGAGAATTCTCGCGCTTGCTCTGATGTTTCATACTGGAAGAGATTTTCTAACTTCCTAGGTTGTTCTTGAGTTAGAATTATGCTTTTTTTTTTATTCGCCTTTGGTGTATTACAGACCCCTGTCAATCCTCTGAAGGATACCATTTTTCTGGACGGCCGGTCCCTGCCAAAGAAGCCACCTCCGAAATTTTATTTTGCTCTTAACAAGCCGAAAGGGTATGTATCATTTCACATTCTATTTATAGGTGCCCTTTGTACCCTCCGTTACATAAGTATTTGTATTGGATATGCGAGTTCTCTGTACCGCCCGGATTGGTTTTTACAGCACGTCATAGAACGTCGAAATCTCAAACAAGATAAAGCGCAACATTAGAGTTTTTGGGTTCACGCTGATTTCGCTTTACAATTTATCACTTGTTTGGATGCTTTGGACGGCACAGGTACATATGCTCAAGTGCAAAGGATGCTCCTAAACCAGCTTTGTCGCTCTTGGAGGATTACTGGAAAATTTGGGTAAGCCTTGTTACTCAATCTTTATTATTCATTTCGTTTTGTGATCGCATTTCATGGAATTGAGACTTTGTCAACCAGGCAACGTAAACTGTCACTGTGTGATGATTGGAACTCCTTGAATTGTGACAACCTCCAATGTGCTCTGCAATAGCTACTTGTTTCAGCTTCACAGTGACGCTTCTTGATGTTGTTTATATTTGATGTGAATTCGACTTCGTTTTCTTAAAACCGACTTATACATCTTGTATTCAGCGACCGTCGTGACAACTACCGTCTGGTATTGAGCCCTATGTGAAACGTACACCTTTCTAGTTGAAACTATCCGTTTAAGTCTATCCCTTGTTGGAATTCAGGATAAGAAAAATCCTGGGGTTTCAAGGCCACGACTTTTTACGGTTGGAAGACTTGATGTTGCCACATCTGGTCTACTGCTGATTACAAATGATGGTGAGCTGATTGTGCATGGAATTTCTCTGCGTGCATTGTAGTAGTCTGTTCTCGTCAAGGCTGTTCCTGGTGTTAAAAAGCAATTTTCGGAAGTATCCGTTTTCATGTCCTGCATGTTGCTTAATGATTCTGGGGCTTCTTTTTGCAGGTGACTTTGCACAAAGGGTATCACATCCATCATCAGGGCTGACCAAAGAGTAATACTGTGAACCATCCTGGCACCAAATAGTACGATCGTTGATCCTGCAACAGCAATCTTTTTATCCATACAGATTGTGGTTGTGGTGCTAAATAGCTTGTTAACTGGCAGGTATATTGCTACAGTAACCGAGAGGGTCACTAAGCGACAGTTGCAGCTCATAGCAGGTGGTACTAAGGTGCAGGATGTTCATTGTGTACCCACTGAGGTTGAACTATTGCCTCCTGAACCTGGGGACGCACGAAACAGGATTCGCATCGTGGTAAGTCAGCTAGACTTTAAGCAAGGTAACTTTGTAGAAGTCTCTCCATGTTGTTTTTCAATCTTGACTGCATGGCTCAGCCATTGTAAAATCGATTGCAAATGAAGATGGTGGTACATCACGTTAATTATCATAAATCTACGGAGTGCAGGTTTGTGAAGGACGAAATCGAGAAGTGCGAGAGCTCGTTGCAAATGCGGGTTTGGAGGTTTGTATTCTCATAAAGTCAATGCTGGGTTGCATACGCTGCTGTTGTATATATAGTTAGTGATCGTTCTAACTCGGTGTATGGTAGCTATGTGGGAAACCTTTTCTGTGGTCTGGAGTTTAATATTAGTTCCTCAGTGACACTCGTATCATTCTGATTATGCCCTGTTTTGATTAACAGGTCTTGGCGTTGAAGAGGGTCCGAATTGGAGGTCTCTCACTTTCTAGAAAGCTTTCGTAAGTTGAAAATATTATTACTATCCTCTCATCATTTTTTTCGAAATGTTGTTTTTGCATTCCTTTAAGGACCTTGTAAATGTTCTGGATCCATACCGAGCCATCACTACACGTTCTGTATTTTATAAAGATGCATGGTGCAGCCGAACGCATTGTGTAGCTATCTGTTGAGTTACCTATGCGAGAAGTAATAACAGTGTCCGTTTCAATTGTTCTGTATCTGGTATTTCTGTCACGTGCAGGCCCGGCAAGTTTGAAGTCCTCACAGAAACGCAGGTCAACACCGTTTTGAACTTGCAGTAGCAGGAGTATAATTGGGGGTGTAGGTTAATTTGAGACTTGGTAACTTCTGCAGTTAATCGCATATACAGACTGTGAGAGCAGATATCTGTAACCTCCACGGGCACCTGCTCTCCTGTAATTCTCAATCTCGCCAAGAGAATCGGGAAAGGTTTTTACCCTTGACAGGTACTACAATTCAAAGTGGGATTTTAGCACTTGATGGTAAATATCCTTCAGAGGTTAGGCTGCCAAAAGGAGGAGTTCTTGCTGAAGCGTTCACCTGGAGTTGGTGGAGGAACTCGGCATTACAGATGAAGTAGAAGAGAAAGGCACGAATTTGAGAAAGTGCAGCTCGAAGCTCAGTATATTCTATGGTGCAATGGAAAACACCTGATTTTTGTGCCTGGGAACGATCAGTGAATCTGCCCTGTCAAACTCTATTTGAAAATGTAGGCTGAAATTTGAGGTAACAGATGTAGGGCGCCTGGGCTGAGCTTGAGGCCGCGTTGTAGAGGTGGAGGCTTGTAGCAATAAGTTTCTGTCTCTTTATTAGGTCCAGTCCCTGGGCCAAATTTTACCCGTTTCTGCCCATCTTGGATTTATTCTCGCCCTTGTCAGCCAAGGCGTGTAAGTCTTACGAATCTCCTAGAAAGGTCCAAGATGGCCAACTCTGGGGCTTTTATCCCAATTGCAGACATGTAGGAATACTATTGGGTATTAGAGCACAATTAAGGAAGCGTTCACGAGTAGACGCTGGGTTTTGTTTTTGTTTCTTTCTTCTCCCTCCTTTCATTTTACCTCTCGCTCGCTCCCCCCCAATTCCTTTCTTTTGTTTTGTTTTCTCTCTTCTTTTTGCGTTTTTTTTAATTTTGTGTGTATGAAGTCCTGAAGACTTGTGCTATGCCCAAGGTTACGCTAAACCTTGTGATTAGGTTTGGTTCAGTTCCAGTGTGGCTCCAATGTAGTCAATACTAATGTGCTTAAGGCATCATCAAACTAACTAAAACCATGTTGTTTGTTGCTGGTTTGTTTATGTCAATAATCAGTTACGTCTCATCGTATCCTTCTGCAGTCAGTGGGAACGATAGAGCCCACAACGACCCCAAGAAAACCTAATCAAAGCACTGCAGCTTGGTATGGAATTTCATGAAAATGCAATATCTTCTACATTTTGTTTCGTCACATACATTCTGAAAGCATTTTACACATCGCGCCGAGGTAGTTTTGTGCTATTGTACGCAAGATTCAGGTCTACAGTCGCAGCTGCTTCTATTACAGGTTTGTCAAAAAGATCCACATAGGTTACAGGTACAGACGGAATTGACGAATATGTTGTCGATCTTTTTGTGATTGTGTTAGCAGTGACCTCCAAAATGGGCAACCATTTCCACCAACTCTGGCCTCTCATAATCTCTTGCAAGTGCTGGACTCACCAGGGCAATGAGAAGCGGATGCCCAAATGAATTCCACCGCGATAGAGACACCTTCGGTAGCACAGTTCGAAGTCAAGCCTCCTGACAGTCTCCTCTCTGCCGACATTTTTCATGATCCGCTTGCCCCCACTCAACAAAACCAACCCCTATCAACATGACGAAAAAAACGATCGGACGACAGAAGCAGGACGTGAAGAAGCCAAATCCAAAGTCCCCAAAAACAGCGACGACGTCGTTGCCTTCAACACCCTCACCAATAACCTCAATCCCCTCAACGGGCCCATTACACAGTGTTGCAGAGTCACCTCCCCTAAGTGGCGAAGACAGTTTGGGGGACTCACTGATGATAATGGGGGTGGCAATGGAGCGTGCTGTGAAGGAGAAAAGCCACCAAGGGGAAGAAGAAGTGGGAGCAGCAGCAGCAGCAGCAGCAACAGAAGTAGTAGAAAAAGAAGGTGAGCAGAAGGAAGACAAGGACCACCAAGAGAAGAGAGAATCCAAGAGGGAGCTGAGTTTGCTGCAATCGGTTCAAGAGGCGCAGCAGAACCCAGATTTCCTGCAGCGGCGCAGGGTGGCGGCGGCGGTGATGAGGATCCAGCGAGACGCAGAGCTCGCTGAAGCGGAGGCCACGAGGCAGCTGCAGCTGAAACAGCACCATCACCAGCATAATCAGCATCCTCCTTCTAATCATCCTGCTAATCCTACTATTCTCAGTGCTAATGACCACCGTTATCTGTTGGGCATGCATTATTTGCCTCCAGTGATGCATGATCCTACCACCCTGAACCGCTACCGTTTCCAGGTTGCAGCCCCTGAACTATATCACCTCATCACCCTCTATCTATCTATAAATATATTTATATATATATATGATTCATTGTTAGGATTTCCTCTCATTTCTTTCTTTGTTTTTGTTGTTGTTGTGAAGATTTTGTATATGATAAGTAAGAAAAACTGTCTATGAAGTGCTTGTTGTAGGCAGCCAAAGCATGGGCCAAGGCACAGGAAAGAGTTGTGGAAATGGGCATGAATAAGAAAAAGGTCCCAGTTCGTGAAAGTGGGTTTATGACAAACACCACAAACATGTTGTGGAAGATGTGGAAGTATTTGGAGACCTTTTGTGGCTCCATCATGGTGATTGGTTTATTGTTTGTTTGTTGTTTGTTTGTTTGTTTATTCATGTCTTTTTTCTTTTCTTTTTTTAATTTGTGAATAAAAAAATGGCTTACTGGTCAATGAAACAGATTGAATTGTGTGGAAAAGTGTGCTTCAAGTTAATGCATTTCTCACAGTGAACTGTTGTTTGTGGGTTTTTGGGAGCAGGAAATTAAATTTTGGTCAAAAGATTTGGTTTGGCTCGAATGCAGTTTTGGGTCATCCATGATGATAACGTTTGCTTTTTTGCGTTGGGTGTTTGTTTTGAATCTTGTCCTTGCATTGATATGGTTTTGCGCAATCATACTTCCTTTCATTCTTGCGCCCCCATTATCCTTTGATTGGCCAACATTCAAAAAGGCCTTTCAAAACAAAAATTTCTTACAAGCTTTGCAGGTAGCATTATCATACCTTTTATTTAATATAATTACATGAAAAGCACAAAATATTCTTGTTAGTCTTGAACATCAAAAATATTTAAATCTTGGATTTTTTTTTTTTTTTTTTTTTTTTGTTCTTAAATTAAGAGGTTTTTTTTGAAGGTGCAATAACTATTGTCAAGTTTTATTTTATAAGTTTTTGAGTTGGTTACAATGTAGGGTATTGGAATTGACAAATCTTTTATTTACTATGGAGGATATGATTATATGCGTGGTGAACAACACACATGGTATAAAACGGATTACATGTACCCCCTAACAATTGTTGGAACAATTATTTTTTCAATTATAGCTATATTGAGAAGGTATAACTATAATTTTATTATTTTAAACAATTGGTAGTACAAGTCCTTTTGTATGTTTAAAATATGTACTTTATACAAGTTCTACACGGGATTCATCCTTCAAATCATGTCAACACATAATTCATAATACCATTTAACTTATAATATTTTATCCTGTAATCTGCTGATTGTGTTTGTACAAAGTTTGATTAGTGAGCAAGTAACGTTTAAATTCCACCATTAACTCTTGCATGGTAATGGTATTCTTACAAAATAAGACATGAAATGCTAAACCATTAGCAGATCTTATGCAGAATAACAAAACAAATCTTGGAGGCAGGCTCTAAAACAATTGGGACATCGCAGAATGTATTATATCCTTTCGCAACTCTTACATTTGCTTCATGGGATTTTCACATCACTTCCTTTGAGGTATTATTCCACTCACAAGTTGAACTCATCATATAATATTACATATAATATTTTTTTCACCAAGTTTTTTATTTTCTATTATTCCATTCCATTTTAATTAAATGGCCCACAAAAATCGATTGTTGACCTAGTTTAATTCTTAATATGTAACTTGAATTTAAAAGTACAACATAAGTATTTGTGTTCTCTATTTCTATTTCCACACACCTTATAATTGACATGTTCAAATAAATAAATAAATATATTGAAATTTGCAAAGAAATCATAGTTTAGTTGAGACATTTAAGAGGTGTTTCTAATTTAAAGTATGGTTGGTAGGGGGCAACAATTATGCGGAGAGGTATACGGATGCAAGTGCGTGAAAGACTAGCAGATGCCAAAAATAAAATAAAACATCTCACATACAAACCTACTACCTTAATACGGGTATTGTTTGAACTTTGAACTGCTTCATTCTCTTTCTTTCTTCCTTAAAACATCCAAATTTGAAGCCTGTTTTAGAGAGAAGTTTGAGTCTCATTCAAATAGGAGTGGTAAATAAGAATGCATTCCTAGAAACAATAAATGACTTTGCTCTTAAAAACAATAGCTAAATAAGAACTTTCAAATTTTCATCATCACTAAAAAAAGACTTTAACTCTTGTTCAAATATATGTAGCCTTTTCATAGGATTCGAAATAATCATAAAGAAAAATAAAGGTATTATTGACAAAAAAATAAAAATAAAAATAAAAAAATTAATTGGTGTCTACATTTCTTTTTTCTTTTAAGGTGATGTTATTTTGATAAATTTATTGAGGAATTATAGTTTATAGAATGGAAAATTTGAAACTTCATTCGTTTTAATTTTACATCATTAACACTTGGTCCATTCTTAAGATTGCAGAGGTACACTTCATTATTATTATTATGGCCAATGTTGTTGGGTGCATGTGCGGGATGTGAATACATTCTTGTGACATACGGAGACTCAATTAACAATAAATTGGGTATAATATTCTTATTTTTTACTCTTTATTTTTAAATAACACCATGATGCTAACCCAAGGAACTCTGATGTGTTTACATTAGCATGAAAGAATGAATTTTTATCAATGTGTATGAATGATCTTTATGAAAAAAATTATTGATAAGTTGATAAAAATTGATAAAAAAAAACCATTTTGAAATGAATGAAAGGAGTTTATGCGGACTCCATATTTATGTCCATAGTCAACAATGTGAGTCCGTGGGTGGTGAAGATGTTGGTAAGAATGCAAGAGTGGAAACCCGCAACCCATGAAAAAGTGACCATTATCAAACTTTACTTTTTGAGGGTTTTCAATGTGTCCACCATTCTTTGGAGGTTCAACCATGCAACTTTTTCACTTGATAAATAAAAAAGAAATTAAAATTCTAGTTATTAAACAAATAGCATCAACATGTTCAAGATCATACATCTAAGAGAAGCAATTTCTCAGTGTTTTCAAGATTCAATTTTATTTACTTATTATCTATTTATATATAATTGATAGGATCAATAAATAAATAAAGATCCATGTATTCATTTTTTTTTTTTACTTTGTTTAAATGGTTTAAGACATTTTTTGAACATTCCAAAATGGAGTTTGATGCTAAAATGAGCGATGAAAATATATAGGTCCATATTAACAATTCAAGCCTCTTGGCAAGAGATAGAAGGTGTTTCCAATAATGTTAAGGTTTGTGTCCGTGCTGCGGATTGTGGTGATGGCTTTGTATGTTGTACTTCCGTAGACATGGGTGAATGGCATCTTTGTGCTAAAAATGAGGTTAGTAGTTTTCCATCAATATTATTCATTCCAAAATATAAATATCACATATCCTACATAAATGTTTTATGTTTAATTCTTCTCTTCTTTCTTTTCAATTTTTTTTTATTATTATTATTTATCTAGAAAGGAAATCTTTAAAGATTTTGTATTCTTGAAACTATAGTATAAATAAACATTCATAATTACAAACTTGGTTTTTGTTTTTGTAAAATTTATGGTAGATAACAAATCCAATTATCCTTAATTTTATTTCAAATTTTTAAAAATAGAAAGTGGATTTCAACCATTGTATACATATAATGTAAAAGTATAATAATAAAGGAATTGAAATGGATAAATATAGATAGGTTATTGTGTGGCTGGATGTACGGAGAATTGGGTTGCAAGGGAGTTGCTTGGAATGATTGGCATCAATACCCTATTGAATGTGGGAGTCTCTATTTTTATTGGACTTTTCAACCTTTTGTGGTATGGGGTACTTATTCCACTTACCAATCTACACTATTCAATAGTTCACATACATTTGAGTTATGGTTTTTAAAATTTTAAACATGGATATATTTTTAAAAGCTTATGCTTGTTACAAGTGTTGTGTAGTGTTGTACAAATGTTGGTTAATTTCAATATAATTACAATTATACAATGAAATTGGAGCAGATTTTCAAGTCTAGATATTAATAGATTGAAATTTAACTTTTTCAATTATAAATCTTAAATTTTGTTAAAATTTCATTTAAAATTTTAAAATTTATGAATTTAAGTTACCTTGAAATTTCAAAATTTTGAATTTACCTTTACAAACACTCCTGAGTGTTGAGAAAATTAATTTATTTCACATTCATGAAATTTGAAACAGAAATTATATAATTGAAAAAATAAGTCATGCTTAACATGAAATTTAAAAGCCCTCCTTAATATGGATATTGTAAAAAATGTAGACAAAATGGAGTCTAGACATTACAGATTTTGTGGTGGACATTGTATATATCCAAGCATTGGTGTGGATAACATGCACATATAGCCCCTTTGCTTGTCTAGTGGGGGCATTGTGTAACTTTGTTACATTTACTGGATACAAGGTACCTTTCTTCACACCAACATTTTTCACACTAAAAACCATGTGAACATACATTGCATTGAATTTCCATGTTCTTCTTTGAATAATAATAATAATCATTATCATAAACAATTCTGAAATACCATTTTATTTTTTATTTTCTTACTGTTTTTTCTCCTTTTAGTATGTGATCTTTTATACGTGCAAGCCCGTGCAAAACCCATATAGTGCAACGAGCACAGACAGGCTCACATATGGCATGCTCTTAGCAACATTGCTACTGAGCGTCATCCCCATTGGGATCGAGTTTGTATCACCAAGTGCAGCCTTCTGTGGTCCAATCAATGACCGCATTTCTATGTACTCTGTGCTCAACAACTACATTCAGGTTCCTCCTCCTCACACAACAACCCCATTTATATTCCACTGAATACATTAGTAACAAAAAAACTATTATTATAATTATAAAATAGTAATATTTTTTTAAAAAAGAAATCCCTGAAAGAAAAGCCCACTTCCTTATCCGCAAACCAAAACTAAAGAAACCAAATCCTTTTTACCCCACGTGACATGGTTTTTGCAGTATTGAGTTTCCATGGCTCTTGTGTTACGTTCTCTCTTTCTGTGCCTGTGTCTGTGTCTGTCGGTATATATGTATGTCTCTGTGTGAGTTGTATGTGAGTGTGTCTATGTGTATGTGTCTGTGTGTGTGTGTGTGTGTGTCTGTGTGGTTGTTTGTTGAGGGAGCCTTGTTGGGGATGATGCAGCGAGCGCCGAAAGCATTGGCGATGGTGGTGAGCGTGCTGTCCAACACATGGCTGCAGTGGGGAGCCATTCTAGCCCTGCTGCTGGGCGTCGTTCGATACTAATTCGAAAGACCCACAGGACGAGGCGTT